CACAGAAAGCACATTCATTCACATGTGGAATTACTAACTTTCAATGCATGATAAAATACATTAATCCACACTCAGCGCCTGATAAAACCAAGGCAAAGTCTGAAATTCATGTCTCAATAATTATTGACTATAATGTCAGTGACATAAGTTTCTAGAGCAGTGGCTGTATAGGATATATTCCCAAATCTGGTGCTCCTTTTTGATTATTGTTTAACCTATTTTAAAACATTTAGCACAGAAAGGAGAAAGTGATTTAAATATTATCTGTTTAACTTGCTAACCTTCTGATGCCCTTTTGCAAACAGCTTGTTCAAAGTCCATAGAGCTAAGCGAAATAAGCCAGTCAGAGGAAGATAAGTATCACATGATCTCACTCATTTGTGGAATATAATGAACAACATAAACTGATGAACAAAAACAAATCCAGAGACAGAGAAGCATCGATCAGACCATCAAACCTCCGAGGGAAGGTAGGGGAGGGCGGGGGTAAGGGGGAGAGATCAAACAAAGGACTTGTATCCATGCATATAAGCCTAACCAATAGACACGGATACCAGGGGGGTGAGGGCATGGGGGGTAAGGGGGTAATGGGGGATAAGGATACATATGTAATATCTTAATTAATAAAGAAAAAAATAGAGATTTGGATACTCAGAATAACCCTTCTGTATCACTTTCTAAACTTAATTTCCTTACATGCAATTTGGATTTCTCTGAAATAAGCAACCACAGGGATTTGAAAGTTCCAGCACAGATTTATAATGAAATGAAAAAAGATTGAATTCTGTCCAGAAATGTGTGATGGCATTCAAAGAAGAATGACATTTACTGAAGTAATACTTCCCCTTAATACTCTCCCACATGAAATTTGCCTTCTTGTAAGCAGATTACCTTCATAAGACAATGTAGGGACTGCACTTAATAATAGTGAATTATATCAACCAAGCTACTAAAATTAGTAATGATTTTGTTTATAAAGAGCTAAGTAATGGTACTTTATTTTGTGAACCCTGCAGTGTAGCTCTGTGTACTGAATGTCTGTTAACTTACTATCTTCCTTTTGTTTAAAGCATGCTTCTTTAAGGTTATCTCTTAAACCACTATTATTATTTATACTAGAGGCCCAATGCACGAAATTCATGAAGGGGCTCACCCTCACAGCTCCGGCTTCGTCTGGAAGGTAGTTCGGCTGTCCAGTCTAATGAGCATATTATATTTTTATTATTATAGATGTTGGGAAGAGTAGGCATGCATTTCCAGGAGATATGGATTAGAAAGTTCAAGTGTATGTATGTGTGTGTGTGTGTGTGTGTGTGTGTGTGTGTGTGTGTGTGTAGACTGAAAAAAATTTGCCTCTCTTCAGGTTCTTATGTACCTCATTAGGAGGCATTCCCCAACCTTTAGATGAAAGTCTGTGGACCAGAAAAATTAAATTGTTACGAGAAATTATTATTGGCATTTTCAAGTAAGAGAAACCTGCGTACCTGCAATAGGATTAAACCATTAGAGCCTCTGTATCTTGAGATAGGAAATCTGAGAGGTAAAAGAGCTTCATATCTTTGTAATACTGACTCTTTTATTCGGAACAAAGATAGCTTATTATTTTGAAAATAAAACTGTAGACCTAAAAAAGTTCCTCCAGGCTACTGTGTCCATTCCCTTTGGATCCAGAAAGGCTGAATATTAATGTATCTCATTTAAATTGCTCTGCTATTTTGAAAGCTGTCTTGAGTCCAATCTCCCCTTTGGGGAAAATAGGAATAGAGAAGAAGGGAATTTAGAAGTCTGCCTGGCTTGGCTCAAAACTGATAATGGCATCGAAAGATGCCAAGGTCGAGAAGGGTTGGAAGAGAGTTTGGGAGATTTTGGAGAGATCCATTTTATGATGTGTCATCCTAGAAAGGAAAAGGAACCTTTGGCTTTAGCCAACCATATAGATGGCAAGTGAGTTGCCAAATGCATTAAGTCAGTTCAGATTCATTTGTCAAAGTCAGGATGGGGCTCACTAGCACAGCGTTTCTCTAGCTTCCTTGGCTGGAAAACTTTAAACCACTCACTGTAGTCCAAGTATGGGTATGTGTCTGCTGGGGGTAGGGTGCTGGTCATGGTGGTGGTTCTTTGTGACCAACTTGGTCTGAGGCTGCTAATGGCCTCACTGCTGGAGTGTTCTATGTATGGTCAGGTTCAGATGTTTTACACAGACCAGGGATAAGTGACAGATAGCATTTACATTCTGATAATTTTCCTGTGGCCCCATGGCCATCTGTGCTCTTGTATTGAACCTTTGATCCCATTCATGATGGCTCCACCCTCATGACCTACCTCCCAAAAGCCCTACCTCCCAAAATCATCACATTGGAGATCAGGGTTTCAACATATGAAATTTTTTTTTTGGGGGGGGGGAGAGGTGGGGGAGAGGCAAAAACATTCAGTCCAGAGCACCTACCTCAGATGGCCTCCTTTTCCTTCTTTTCTATTTCTTTTAAATTGCTGTACTACTCACTCTGCTCCCTTCCTAAAAAATTCCAATGTAATTTTTCTAAAAATGTTTCCCCAATCCCTTTTCTTTTTGTTTCCTTTCAGTAATTACATGGCTCAATCTTAAGCTCTACATAGTTGCCCTGAAATCTGTGTGTTTGCCCCGACCATTGGTCAACACATCTGGTATCCCCATTTGGATGGTCACCTGGCTTTTGAGGACAAAAGGCCACACTGAACTCATCCTCTCCCCATTTTTTTCCTGTAATTATTCCAGCATTCTGGTTACCAGGTTCAAAACTCAATAATCATTCTTTACATCATCGCTTGGCTCCTGGCCTTTGATGATTTTTTCAGTCCTGTTGTTAAGATCCCTCTGAAATGCCTATTTTTGTTGTACTGGAACCAGCCAACTCCAATGCACTGTGGTTTTGGCGTGCAGAGACATGCTTTAATGGAAGTCATAGTTGCCAGGGACCAGCATGTCCTGTGTGCAATAATGCAAGGGGTAATTTATGGGAGTTAAGCACTGGCAATAAGATAGAAATCATGTTGTTCATAGGTTGTGAAGAAGCATTTTACTTGTTGGATACACAACTGACAAGGGGCCACCCTCAGCTCCTTGCTGGTTGTTGGCTGGACTCTACCTTCAGAGCCTTGTCACATGGGCCTTCCCCAAATTGCTACATGCTTTATCAAAATCAGCAAGAGAGAGTATCCTTCCAAGATGCAGCTCACAACCCTATGTAACCTAATCATGAAAGTAAGTGATATCCCATCACCCTATCCAGTGGTCAGCAAACTCATTAGTCAACAGAGCCAAATATCAACAGCACAACGATTGAAATTTCTTTTGAGAGCCAAATTTTTTAAACTTAAACTATATAGGTAGGTACATTGTTATTAACTTAATTAGGGTACTCCTAAGGCTTAGGAAGAGCCACACTCAAGGGGCCAAAAAGCTGCATGTGGCTCGCGAGTCGCAGTTTGCCGACCATGGCCCTATTCTATTGGTTATTCTGTTGGCTAAAAGTAAGTCAGGGGTCCCATCCACACTGAAACTAGAGGGGATCATGCAAAGACTTGAACACCAGGAGAGGGGGTGACAGGGACTATGAGAGAGTCTGCTGACCACATATAGCAGGGTTGGGGAACATCCACCCCGCAGGCTGTATCATTTGATCTGGCCCTGCCAAGGCAGGACTCAAAATTTCATAAATCTAAGAGCTTTTTTCATAGCAACATCATTTTTAAGTTGATAATTTTGTATGGCCCGTGAATGGTGTTATAAATATCCAATGGTCTTTGGCAGACAAATGATTCCCCACCCCTGACATATAGGAAGGGAGGAAACACAACTCTTGTCACTTCTATGATTCTATCACATCAGTGGTAAAGCCTCATTGACAGTATTTATATAGGTTAAATGACAAATATTTCAGATATTAGAAAGTCAGTAGAAGCTTTCTTCCTGTTTCTTCACTTAATTATGCAAAAATGAAAGTATTTCTGCAGGGTTCAGAAGGTTGTCTTACTGGATAATATTGAATTATTATTAAAAAATAATTGCTGTTAATGAATTCATTATACGTTCCTTTGTTCCTTATCTGCCATTTGGTTCTCTCTCTCCTTCATCATTTTCTATTCCATTGATTACTTTCAGAACCCATCTCTTCCTACCATTTTCTATCATACATTTTTTTAAATAGAATTTTTCTCTTTCTTACACTATGCATATAGGTGTTTACTTTATTGAAGTCATTAATGACTTGATAGCTTCCCCTTAGAGTCACTGAAGTGAATTAAGGTATTTCCTGCGAGATTTGGTCAATTTCTCCTTGACTTGAATTATCATAATCTTTACATGTTTCTGCTTCCATTCTGTCATTACTTATGGCCCTGAAATAATTATTTCTCAAAGAAATTTGGGATTATGTTCTACACTGTCCAAATGAGACTCCTTCAGGGTTGAGTCACTTAAGACATTTTAGTGGAGCTGAGAGTAATTTTAATTAAGATCTTAAGCTTATAAACATGATGAATCTTTACTAGAAGGAGGAAATATATACATAGGATTGAAAATAACATGAATAAATAGATATAGGTACTTTTTCTCAACCTCTACTTTTAGAGATGTACGTAGATTTTTTAAAGATGAAGCAAAAACAAACACAATACAAATTAATACATCAAAACCACTATCAATGAATAATAATCTCTCATTTATATTTCTAAAAACCAGAACACCTTAGTAAACTTACACTTGGGTCCATTTAAAATTGTCAAAATCGGGTCAGGACTTTCAGAGGTCAGGACTTTCTTGCCATTGGAGCCATGATATAAAAATTTCTTTAAGCAAACAAGTATCTACCACATGTGTGCATCACCTAGGTGACGCATGCAAAAACTTGGATGTTCCAGACCTTCATTTCTATCACCCAGATGGCAATGCTGCTGGTGTGGTTTTCTTAAGAATTTGGAGTCTTGCAATTTAGGTTAGAGATCAGGAGGTGAGTACTAACCTGATGCAGGTGCCATTATTGTGGCATCGATGATGAGCACACCAAGGGACATGGCAGTTCTCAATATTCTTTCCACGTAGTGCTTCATCAGTGATGAAGAATTCTTTGTTGTTTACTTGAAGCTTTCCAATGCAGCCCTTGAGCCCATAAATATGGCCCGCATTCTTATGAATCTTAACATTTTCAGGAATATGGCCAAGGAACATTGATTCAAAATATACCTATAGGAAAAATAGCAATAAACAAACATCTTCTTAGAAGGTGTTAAGTTATAGAAGAAGGGCATAGGATATTTTGCTCTGTAATTGCATGGTCTTCTATGTTAAACAGGTTTCAATTGTGTGCTAGTTTTGTCAGCCCACCTAGTAGGAGGTAAAGTACATTACTTTAGAAAAAGGTCCTTATTTTATATTTCTTTGTATCTCACAATAGCTAATAAATTTTATCACAAAATGGGCATTTGACAAAACTTGATTACTTTGAAATGTATTTTAGAACTCAAGTGTACGCTTTCAATGTGAACATTATCAAATAATAACTGATAAAGAAAATTAAACCTTGTTATTTAATTATTAATAGAGATTGAATTGTGCTACCCCGACCCCTCATTCATATGTTGAAGTCCTAACATCCAGTACCTCAGAGTATGGCCTTGTTTGGAATAGAGCTTATACTCATTGACCAGAATGATGATAAATTAACTTGCATGATATAAATTGCTACTTAATCTCTCCTTTATAATCCTTCAGCAATATAGATAAATTGAACTTTTATCGTTCAGATGTACATAAAATGCAACGTTTCTCAATGGGGATCTATGAGCTACAGTTGAAGTCTAGATGAAATGGTAATGAGAATGTGACCTTCAGGGCTGTTAGGCATATGACAGGTCAATGCAGCAGCATTGGTGCCCAGTTTATGTCTCTGATGTGCTTATTCCCCAAACTCACTCACTCAGTCCCAGCTGATTTCAAAGAAAGTCTTTAATTTGGTATTACAGATGCATTTAAATGGATAACTGTCACTGCAAGAATTCAAAAACTATAGCCAAATAATTAAGTTATGACTGGTGGGAGGAGATGATGTGAGATGCCCAGTAATATTACTTAATACTTATACTAATTTTTTTTTGGTTTAATGCAAATGTGCTTTTATAGAACAGAAGCATGTGCAATGCTAGGAACATCAAAGCATCTCTATGACCTATAGTAGATCAAACTAATTATATTATTTGAGCTCTTATTCTTTTTTAGTGACTTGGGCTCTGCTCCTAAGGCCATTTCTTATTTTTTCCCCCTAAGCACCTCTTATGGGACTCATATATAGTTCCCCAGAGTACCTTTGGGTATAGTGGGGTGGAAGTTTCAAGGTGTATTAATAGAGCCCTCAGGCAGCATAGGAGTATGTGAATTTGTTTTTCCATCCTTTTTTATATGCTAAGCCCATTTATATCAATTACTCTAACAAACTATTAGCAGAGCTCTTTTATCACCTAAGATTAGTGACTCACTGCTAATGCAATCTGGGATCTATCATGGACCCGCAGACTCAGCGAATCCAAGGCTGTGACCTTCCTCTCATTGAGAATCTCTGACATCTTTGTGTATTGATCACACACCTGGAACAGCAAACCTCTCACTGCTTTGACAAGTGTGCTGTTTTAGCACAAAACTGATAGAGGATGAAAGAATATCCTCCTCTAATGCCAGCAGTAGGCAGATCAGAGGGAAAGTATATAGAACTATCTATGATTTATTAGACCATTAAAAAACACCCAAACAATGGAACTAAATGGCTCTTGTATTTCTTCTGATATGAGGCCCAAACTTAGTTGGAGCCCTGAGATGTCTAAAAAAACAGCTGTCGCTGATTGCACATAGATAACCATTAAGATGGTTGACTTCCTCTATCCCAGACTCTCAATTATCTAAGAGCTGCCCATTGTGTGTACAATCATTCCTAAGAAGACAGGTCTTTAAAATAAGTCTTTTCTAATAACTCCTTGTGAATCAGACTATGGAGAATAGAGTCTGACATCAAGATATGATCTTACAAGATAAAACCACAGAGAACAGACATGGATAATCAACGAGGAATCATCAAGATAATGAAAAATAAGAATGGTGACTGAGGGGAAAGGACTCCAAATCTGACAAGAATGAATGAACAGTTCCTTTCCCCTCAGAGTTTCTCTTTAAAGGAAGAATATAGTGCTCTTTTATAATATGTGGGAATACAATAAGAAGATAGGCAAAAGGGAACAAACTTTTAAAAAACTGGAGAGTGAGGGGAAGATGGGTAAGAAGCTGTTTTATCTGCTTTCTGTTTTGTCTCCACTTAAATTTAGATATTGGGGTACTACATACATTTCTGTTATGATATCTTGATTCAATGTTTGCTTTTGTTTTATATCCTCAAGTCTGTCTGAAGTTGAATTACTTTTGTGTTAATGAAATATAGGAAGGTAATTGCAAATGTATTTCTTTGTTAAGATTAACTATTATTGGCAAATATGTTCTCCCATGCAGTGGGCTTTCTTGTTGTTTTGTTGATGGTTTCTTTTGCTGTGAAAAAGCTTTTTATTTTGATGTAGTCCCATTTGTTTATTTTCTCCTTAGTTTTCATTGCCCTAGGAGCTGTATTGGTAAAAATATTGCTATGACATATGTCTGCTATTTTGCTGCCTATGGCTTCTTCTAAGATTTTTATGGTTTCTCGTCTTATGTTTAAGTCCTTTATCCATTTTGAGTTTATTTTTGTGTACGGTGTAAGTTGGAAGAGTTTAATCCATTTTGAGTTTATTTTTGTGTATGGTGTAAGTTGGAAGAGTTATAGGGAACTCATACAACTTAACAAAAGGACGATAAACAATCCAATCAAAAAATGGGCAAAGGACCTAAATAAATACTTTTTGAAAGAAGACATACAGAAGTCCAAGAGACACATGAAAACATGCTCAAAGTCACTAATCATCTGAAAGATGCAAATCAAACCGACAATGAGGTACCATCTCATACCTGTCAGAATGGCTATCATCAACAAATCAACAAACAATTGCTGGTGAAAATGCAGAGAAAAAGGGAACCCTCATGCACTGCTGATGGGAATGCAGATGGGTGCAGCCACTGTGGAAAACAGTATGGAATTTCTTCAAAAAATTAAAAATGGAACTTCAATTTGACCCAGTAATCCCACTTCTAGAAATATATCCCAAGAAACTAGAAACACCAATCAGAAAGGATATATGCACCCCTATGTTTATAGCGGCACAATTCACCATAGCTAAGATTTGGAAACAGCCTAAGTGTCCATCAGATTAGAAAACTGTGGTATATTTACATAATGGAATACTATGCTGCTATAAAAAAGAAGGAACTCTTACCATTTGCAACAGCATGGATGGATTTGCAGAGCATTATGCTAAGCGAAATCAGCCAGTCAATGAAAGAAAAATACCACATGATCTCACTCATTTGTCGAATATAACGAACCACATTAACTGATGAACAAAAACAGATACAGAGACAAAGAAGCATCAAACAGACTGTCAAACTTCAGCAGGAAGGCAGGGGATGGTTGGGGGAGGGGATAAGAGATCAACCAAATGACTTGTATGCTTGCATATAAACATAACCAATGGACACAGACACTAGGGCAGGGTTGGGCAACCTTTTTGTGAGTGCGTGCCAAAACCAGCTAAATCTCTGACTCAAAATTCTTCTGCGTGCCAACCCTAATTTTTTGAGAACATGTTACGCCTACTTGATATCTCTTAAGGTATACATATGTGAAGAACCTTGAAGAAATAATAAAATTCATTCGAGCGACAAAAACAGTATATGATGATGAAAAATACATTTATGTTTTAATGTATACATGTACACTGATAGTCCGACAGAAAACTTTATGACTCCGTTTGATATTATCAGTGGAACTTTTGCTGCTGCACCACTGATGACAGAGATTTTACATCAGGTTTATATTTCGTGACCTTCAGAGATAGGCTCGAGCTACTACTTTCATCCCTCAGGCTACTCCTATTACAAGACTTAACAAAATTCATCACTGAGAACAAAGATTCACAATTGTAAATGGAAGATTATAAGAGAGGGTTTCGCGTGCCATGTTTGGCACGAATGCCAGGGGTTGTCCACCCCTGCACTAGGGGGTGAGGGCATGTGCGGGAGTGGGGGAGGGGAGATTGGGGGGAGGTCAATAGGGGAAAAAGGAGACATATGTCCTACTATTTATAATACTTTAAACATTAAAAAAAGACTAATTATGATAGTGTACTTGTCTTTTTACAAGAATATAATGACAAAATTGACACAAACTGGCTTTAATTTAGTGTTATTGCAGATTTTTGTGTTTAATAGCATCTGAATTATATGCAGACAGATTCAAAACTACACACATGGAAGCTTGGAATAAAGATAGATAAGAGGTGTTGAGTAAATGTTTGTGAAAAGGATTTATTTAACTAACTTTTCACATGTGATTTACATCTTAAATTCTTTAAGACTGTTTAGAGACATTAAATGAAAGGGAATTAAAAGGCAGAAGCAGTATTTATCCAAACCACTCATCCCTTTGCTGTTAGTTTCTCTCCTCCCCCCAATAACATGATAATCTGTGCATTTGTGGTCTCTTTTATATTAATTTATAGGCCTTTTAAAAGCTGGGTCTCCACCCCTCATTATCGTGGGGTTCTCATCATCTATAGCAACACCTTGCAAATAGGAGGTTTTTATTGATTTTTTTTTTTTTTTTTTTTTTTTTATAGAGAGGAAGGAAGAGGGATAGAGAGTCAGAAACATCGATGAGAGAGAAACATCGATCAGCTGCCTCCTGCACACTCCCCACCAGGGACGTGCCCGCAACTGAGGTACATGCCCTTGACCGGAATCGAACCTGGGACCCTTGAGTCCGCAGGCCAACGCTCTATCCACTGAGCCAAACCGGTTAAGCCAAATAGGAGGTTTGATACAAGTTTGTATATATGACCTGATTCATGAAACTCAATCCTGCTTTTCTTCAGTCTCCTACTTGGCTTTTCGGTCTCTTCTCCTTCTTTATTTGGCTTTAGAACCTTGCTAGTTTCTCAGATTCAGCATAAAGGGAGGTCCTCACTGAATACCACCTAAGAAGGAGTATTAATATGGCTTTAATATGAATACATCTTCACATGTTAAACAGCATAAAGTATAGGCAGTGTTTATATGGAAGTTCTTTTCTTTTTTTAAAAAATATATTTTATTGATTTTTTACAGAGAGGAAGGGAGAGGGATAGAGAGTTAGAAACATTGATGAGAGAAACTCATCAAGCAGCTGCCTCCTGCACACACCCTACTGGGTATGTGCCCGCAAGCAGGGTATGTGCCCGCAAGCAAGGTACATGCCCTTGACCGGAATTGAACTTGGTACCCTTGAGTCTGCAGGCCGACACTGTATCCACTGAGCCAAACCGGTTAGGGCAATGGAAGTTCTTGAGTTACATATGAGATTAATATCAAGAGGCTCACACAAAGAGTTATTTTTTAATTTGATAAATATCAGTTTCATCTTCACTGGTCCCATACTTCACAGATAAACCTGTGATTCTTAAGGCTTTCTAGGCTAGAGAACATCTTCAAAATAACATCTTCTCATTTTGTTGAAGGAAGAACTGAACTTTAGTAAAAAATAAATTGAATTGCTACCCTGTGAGCACATGGATACAGGGAAGTGGAAATAGAAAAAAAGGATGTGAGCTTAGTCTCGTCTATAAGGAAGTTAAATGTTATCTGGGGAAATAAATCACAAAGAAATTAAATAGTCAGAAAAGAGCAGCTTTCCAGTCAGTAAGATGGAAGGATAGGAAGTTCCAGACAGTCATTCCTTTCCTCATGGAGACATTGGTTCAACAATACACAGACAGAGTGTCCATATGAGAAATGTGTAGACTCAGTAGAGAGGCACTTGCATCTTAGGGGACTGTGAAACTAGCTGCATTGAGGCCAGCTGTATTGGGAACATATATGGCACTCACTTGCTATAGCCCTCCTCTAGGCTCAGTGGAGCATGATTGAGAGAAAATTTCCAGTTTCTAGCTTCTCTTTGGGGGAAATAGAAAACTGAGACATATGCCCTATGTGTAGAATTTTTAGGGTGCTGCCTAAGGGACTGGTTGCTGACAGGTAAGTGGCCAGATTGGGGCCACTGAGAACAAAGATTAAGGTTTGACCAGTAGGTATTCCCTCAGCATAACCCCTCCTCCACCTCTGTGGGAGAGAGTAGGTGAAAGCCCCCAACTCCTGACTTCTTCCTGGGGATAGAAAGAGTTGAAACTTGCATCCAAAAATTATACTTTTCTGAGAGACTGGTTTCTATTTTGCCTGACTGGAAGCTCTGATGAGACCCAGCATAGTCTAGAAACTTGGGGGCTGCTGAGAACAAAGAAAACTGGGCTACTTACAGCAGCTCCAGAGAAACGGCAGTACTGCAGACGGAGAGCAGAGGGAATAAAAGATCACAAGCACCCCAAAAAGACTGGCAAATTTGTATAGTAAAGAATTCACACACACACAAGTCTAGAGAAGACACATCCATTAAAAGGTTTGAGAGGGTCCCAGAGTCTCTAGCTGTGCTATTTGGTGTAGGTCCGTTCCTATGCAAAGCCATTCTATAAACACTGGGAGATGGTTGTTTTTCCAAAAGTGTGGATCCCATCACAAAGTGACAAGGCACAAGAAGAAACAAGAAAACATAGCCCAATCAAAGGAACAAAATAAATTTCCAGAAACCAATCTCAAAAAAATAGAGTTATATGAATGACCAGACAAAGAATTCAAAATAACTGTCACAAAGCTGCTAAGTTGGTTCAAGAAATTGAATCATGAAGAAAATAAGAATATCAACAAAGAAAAACTATAATAAAAAATCAAACAGAAATTTTGGAGCTGAATATACAAAGCTCAATTGAAAATTTCACAAGAGTTATCCAATCCCAGAAGGGCCCACGGGGTGGGGCAATGAGGGGTTGGGGGTTGTAGGGGGTGCCCACACCAGGCCAGGTGAGCTCAGAAACAAAGAAAAAAGAAAGAAAGAAAGGTAGATAGATAGATAGATAGAGAGAACAGAAAAAGGAAAGGAAAAATTCACAAGAGGAATTCAACAGAAGAATTCATAAAGCAGAAGAAAGAAGCAGCAAACTTAAAGATAGGTTATTTTAAAGTATCTGGTTAAAAGAGCAAAAGGGAAAAAAGAGATTAAAAAGGAGTAAAGAGAGTTGGAGGGCTTTATGGGACATCATCAAATAGATTAATATATACATTATTGGATTCCCAGAAGAAGAAGAGAGAGAAATGGGCAGAAGGCTTATTTGATGAGATAACTTTCCAAATCTGGGGGATAAAATGGACATTCAGATTCAAGAAGCTCAAAGAACTAAAATAAGAATGAGCACAATGAGGCTTCACTGAGATACATTAAAATCCTACATAATAAAAGGCTAATGTGCAAATTGTCCCCTCGGGAGTTTGACTGACTGAGAGTTCAACCACTTGCTTTGATGTGTGCTGACCACCAGGGGGCAGTGAGGAACGAAGGAAGGCCCAGGCTGGCAGCTGGCAGCCGGCATTCGGAAGGCTCAATGGGCCCTGATCACCAGCCAGACCTGGGGACCCTACCCATGCACAAATTTCATGTACTGGGCCTCTAGTCTATTTAAAAATCTCCACTATATTAAAATGAGCAGAGGCAGGGTCAGAACCTGTTTTTAATAGTTTGTGTTAAAATTCATGACCTGTAAAATGAAGTGATTTCAGCTCACAAAATCCTCAGTGCTTATATATCCTTATTCTACAAATTTCCACCATTCTTTTATTATAATAAAAGAGGAAGAGGGAGTAACACAAAGGTATACTCAAAACAAACTCCAGGAGTCCATTACATAGCATAACTCCAGGACGGGGACTAGTCTGTGAGACTTCAGGACAGACAGCCTCCACAAGACTAAAATGAGCTCGGGGTGAACCCCTCCAGAAGGCAGCAGTGATTCACTTAGATTTCAGAGCATGTGAGTTAGGATGAACACAGAGAGGCAGGATATTGTAAAAAAGACCAACACTTTAGAGAGCCTAAGTGCATTGTTGCTTTACCATCTTGAAACAATCCCAATTCTTTTCAATTTAATCATAAATTCTATTCCCATGTGTTGGTCTCTGTGTGCGTATGCATATTATGACTTGGGGCACTCTGATCAGCATTTCATTCCGTCAACCTAAAGGGTGAGGAGACTGATTTGTCACAAAGACTACAGACATAAGACATGTTTATCATATTCAACAACGGAAGGATATTTATCGAGCATTTGTTGAATTCGATGTATTGAAGATGTGATCCACTGAAGACTATGTTAGTAGTATATTGTATGCTATTTATAAGAAAATATGAAGCTCTTATTATAAAAGTGGATGACTATAAGGAATTAAGAAACATAAAAATCACACTGACTACTTTTTACATTAGATATAAAAAAAAAACTAGTAGTGTTTCATATATTTTCCACGATTTGAATATTCCATGTCTTAAATCTAAATATTTGGCCATCCTGGGCTCTAGCATGACATCTTAAAACATGAAAACCAATTTTATTCCTACTTAACAATCTGTCCAATTGTTTTGAATCAGGTGCAGCAGCAAATGAAGGATGGTAGAGTGAATTATAAAGGGACAAAAAAGGGTTGAGAATCAGAAAACCTGGGGTCAAGTCTCTGTCTTTCTCACTATGATATTTTGGACACCTGATACTCAGTTTCTGCAGGTTTATGTAAGGGATTATTACTACTACGTTGGAGGATTCTTGTGAGGATGAGATGTGATAATATATGTGGCCATAATTTGGAAAATGTAATGTGCTTATGCAAATGTTAGATGTTCTTATGTGCTTCTTTTAAATGCCTGCATATACACAATAGAGACTATGTAGAAAAAATGGAAATGAAATGAAATTTCCAATTCATTAGGGCACCACACACTGCAAGCATTAATGTGTGCCAAAATTAGCACTGTGGAGCTCTAATTATACAGATGAACTCTCCATGATGATCAAATGAAGCAGGGATTCTTTATCTTAAATGTATTGCTATAAAGTCATAGTAAGAAGCGTGGAATCAACCACATCATTAAAATTAAAAGAATTCAGCAAATTGCCTGGTCTCTGGAGGGACAGACATCTTCTCTTATTTCCATTTAGCTTCATTCAATATTTCTAAGAAAAATATCCTGGCCAACATAAATCTGAACAACTGAGAATGGACTTTTTTTTTTTTTTTTTTTTTTTAACAGCACAGTACAAGCATTACCATGTCCTACAAAAATGTAAGTTTTTAAGCACTGTTTCGTATCTGGCTAATCTTTCCAGATTCCTGAGTTTTTTCTTAGGTCAAGCATAGTATATGCCAAGTTTGAGAAGAAAGTCAATTTCATGCTAAATTTAATAAAACTTTTACAGTGACAGGCAACATCAATATATTTAATTATACCTAAAGTATCAAAGATGAATATTCTGGTGTTTTGTTGAGAGCTTTTACAAGGAATAAAAAATATGATTAACACAATACTTTAAAAATAAGTACTTATTTGAAACATTGAGGGTGCATTTATTAATATTTGAAACTGGATATATGCATGCCTACCTGAGAAGCACTGATAGTTCCATTTATTTCTTCTGTATTGTAGGTTTTCCATTTGTAGTCATTTCAATCATACAAGCAACCCCAGGGCTACCAGCAGGCACTGTGAAGCTAGAAATGAAAACAGAAGAGGCCATTGATGTATGTGTTATTGGCGAGAACAGGATAACTTCACACATGGATGGTAAGTACTTCCTCAGTGAGAGAGGTACTTTCTGGATCACAATAATCCTGAAATATGGCTCAACCATGTGTGAACCTTTTAGGATAGATAAAAGATATATTTCTTTTCTAACACTGCATTTTATTCTCCTTCCCTCCTCCTGTCTTTAAATCAGGACTTGAAATGCTTTCAGAAAGTCAGATTCCCACAATACAAAGAGGACTTTATGTGCTTACGCAAGTATTGATAAATTTTGTGTTAAATGTGGTCAACATATGGTCTCACTCATGTAGGAGATTGTTGGACAAGTAACATCAATGTTAAATGATGCTAAACTCCCTAGGTGGAAATTTCCCCTCCCTGGCCTATAGGGGGAATAGAAATGGAATCAGAAATGAAAGGCTGCATACCCCTGAGCAGTGAGATTACACTGTGATACAGTTATCAGAGAGCATGCTGCTAATGTACTGTCTGGTACTGCTTTTCAGAGATAAAGAAAAGCATAAGGTTAAGGGAATTTGTAAAATGAATGGCAGAAATGGTCAATACATAATTGAAAATTTATCAGAATTCTAGAGTGATGCAATCAGAAAAGGTACACATATTAAAGTACTTAGAATATTTTTAAAATAGAGTTTTAAAAGACATTAAATTGATATTACCCTGTCGCTCGACATATGTAATAATAGTAACTTGCACTGTGATAAAGCCTACTTCATAGAGATAGTAGGAAATATATTTACTAATACTAACAGTGACACTCTGCAGACTGAATAAGTGAATGATTTTAATGCTCAATATTGCTTATTTTTATTTTTTAAATTCTGGACAGTGAACATACCCAGTTAAAAAACCCCCACATATTTTTATTGATTTCAGAGAGAGAAAGGAGAGGGAGAGAGAGAAACATCAGTGATGACAGAGAATCATTGATTGGCTGCCTCCTGCACACCCCACACCGGGGATTGAGCCCACAACCTAGGCATGTGTCCTGACTGGGAATCAAACCATGACCTCGTGGGTCAAATATGGATGTTCAACCATTTAGCCACACCAGCCTGGCTATTTTGAGTTTTAACCCGCTCTCCTAATTTATTCAGGACTGAGAGGATTTCTAGAACATGGGACTTTTTGTGCAAAAACCAGGGAAGTTCTAGGCAAACAGGATCAGTTGGTAATTCTACTTTTCAAATAAAAAGTCAGTTTTATGAAACACTCACTAGTTCAATCATTTACCAATATTTTTCTTAAAAGTAATTGTGGAGACTAAGTGGAATGGGAAAACAAAGTGGAACGTTCTTTTCCTCCTCCCCACTCCAAAGAGACAACTGCCTGAGATTCCCGCTTCTCTCTTATCTAGAAATACAAATCTGATCTGGTCCTGGCAATACGTCATCCCACAACTTTTTTGACCTCCACTCTAGTTTATCAAGCTCATTTCTAATGTTGATAAGATCACTGTGGAAAATTCTAGTAATAACTTCTCGGGTGTCCCATTTGTGTGCACTGCATATGGTAAGGATCTATGAAGCACAGCGGCCATTATAGTTGAGATGGGCAGGTAAACCTGTGTAATGCTTTATGCTGGAGATGGAATAGCTCTGAGGTAATGCCCATGTCCTTGTTCAGAAATAAGATCTCTTTGTTCCATTTAGAGCCCATTAATTCTAACCCTGAACTGCAGTTCTACAAAAGGAAGTCCTATTTGCTTTCTGTTACTGCCTGCCATTCCCCTCCATCGTTTCCATCAAATGGTTGTTTCTATTGTCTGCTTAGTCTACGTACTATTTTAGAAATTGACATTCTAATTCCACCAGAAGATTTTTCCAGATTCTTATCACATTCATTTTTATGTCTCATATTTGCTTATAGACCAAAGTATGTCGTAAGAAACAAAAAATGCTCAAAAAACAAATTAGACATTATGCCACATAAATCATTCGAGGAAAAATCCAAGTGCATATCCCGCATGTCTCCCAAGTATTGCTGAGGCCAGTTGAATCTAATGATTTAAAGACTCAAGAATCATATTTTGAGATAATCCATTGACTGGCTGAGTGATCTTAGGTAAACCACTTAACCTTTCTTCCCTGAAGTGTGATTATCCACAGAGGGAGATAATCATTCTTAGCTCATAAATGGTTAGTGAGAATCACATTATTTAATGTACATAAATCATTCAGTGCTAATATTAAAATCCAGAGTTAAAGCAATTATTTGCTGACTAGACAGGGATCTCTAAAGAGATTTTTATTAAAATAAATTGCACAGTCAAGTTGAAGTGTTCATCTACTTCTGCTAACACTGCTTGTAATGGAATTCAAAATGAAATACTTGGGTTGCATTATTTAAAAAATCAAAATGTGATGAAACAGACCTATTTTTCAGTGTCCTTAACATTCTGGTTGGCAGACCCATTCAGATTTGGAAGAGATAATTTGTTTAATTTTTTTAGAAGGTCCTGCTCAAACTGGAAGTTTAGGTATCCAAAACCAAGGGAAGCATTGCAAAAATGTAAACAATCGCCCTAAGCGGTTTGACTCAGTGGATAGAGTGTCGGCCTGGCCTGCGGACTGAAGGGTCCCAGGTTCGATTCCAGTCAAGGGCATGTACCTTGGTTGCGGGCACATCCCCAGTGGGGGGTGTGCAGGAGGCAGCTGATCGATGTTTCTCTCTCATCGATGTTTCTAACTCTCTATCCCTCTCCGTAAAAAATCAAATATATGTATATATATATATATATATATATATATATATATATATCTACACTAAAAAAAGAGAAACATGGTAATTGGTGTATGACCGCTACCCTTTTCATTGGCTAATCAGTGAGATATGCAAATTAACTGTCAGCCAAGATGGCGGCTGGCAGCCAGGCAGCTTGAAACTAACATGAGGCTTGGTTGCCTCAGTGACAGAGGAAACCAACGTTCCCCGCCTGCCGCTGCAGGCCTCTGAGCCTGCAGTTTAAGAAACATTGTAACAAATACTGCTGGACTTCAGCCAGCAGATTCGCAACATTGTAAGCAAAGGCCAGAAACCTACTTTCAGTAGCGGAGGCCTAAGAGCTGGAGCCAAGCCTCAAAGCTAAAGCTGGCCCAGAATAAAAAAAAAAAAAAAGAAAAAAAGGAGCAGTTGGGAGCTTCAGTCACCCCCAGCCTGAAAACAGCCCTCAGCCCCTCACCCAGACTGGCCAGGCACCCCAGTGGGGACCCCCACCCTGAAGGATGTGTGACCAGCTGCAAACAGCCATCATCCCCTCACCCAGGCTGGCCAGGCACCCCAGTGGGGACCCCCACCCTGATCCAGGACACCCTTCAGGGCAAACCAGCTGGCCCCATCCATGCACCAGGACTCTACCCTATATAGTAAAAGGGTAATATGCCTCCCAGCACTGGGATCAGCGGAGCCGCGAGGCCTCCCGACACTGGGATCAGCGTGACAGGGGGCAGCGCCCAAACCCCTGATCGCCCTGCAGCTCTGTGTGTGACAGGGGGCGGGGCCACAACCTCCCTATCTACCCTGCTCTGTTCGTGACAGGGGAAGGCGCCCCAACCCCCTGATCAGCCCTGCTCTGTGCCTGATAGGGGGGAGCTCCCCAACCTCCCCCCCCCCCACGGGCTCTGCTCTGTGTGTGACAGGGTAGAGCCATAACCTCCCCATCGGCCCTGCCCTGAGTGTGAGAGTGGCGGCGCCCCAACCCCCTAATCGGCTCTGCTCTGTGGGTGATAGAGGGTGGCGCCCCAACCCCCTGATTGGCTCTGCTCTGTGCATGACAGGGTACAGAGCCCCAACCCCCCTGATGGGCCCTGCTCTGTGAGTGACAGGGGGCAGTGCCCCAGCCCCCTGATTGGCCCTGCTCTGTGTGTGACCGAGGGTGGCGCCGCAACCTCCCCATTGACCCTGCCTTGAGTGTGACAGGGGATGGTGCCCCAACCCCCCAATCGGCCCTACCCTGATCGTGACTGAGGGTGGCATCACAACCTCCCAATCTCCTTGCTCTGTGCATGACAGGGGGCGGCGCCCCAACTCCCCAATCAGCCCTGCTCTGAGCCTGACCAGGGGCTGCACCTAGGGATCGGGCCTGCCCTCTGCCACCCGGGAGCAGGCCTAAGCCAGCAGGTCGTTATCTCCTGAGGGGTCCCAGACTGCGAGAGGGCACAGGCAGGGCTGAGGGACCCCCCCCTCCCCCCCGAGTGCACAAATTTTTGTGCACTGGGCCTCTAGTATATATATATATATATCTCAATAATGGAGGGTGGGTTGGTGAATTAAATCAAGTACTTTTATATAATTGAATTATACCCAGCTTTTAAATAGAGACTAAAGAATACTAATTAATGGAATGAAAACATATTTGTATAAATATGGAAAGAGGTAAATACAATCTGGATGATACAGCATTTTTATAAAAGTATGCATAAGCAATTATACCGGAACTACTCTCACTAACATGAACGGTGGATCTCTTTACACGTGGAATGAGAATGGTTTTTAATTTGCCTCTTTTATTTATTTGCATTTTCTAAATTTTGACATTGAACATGTTTCCATTTGACCTCCTAAAACAAAAATTTAGTTTTAATAAAAAGCAAATCAAGGATTAAATAATTCAGTAACATTTTTCTGTGTCTCTGACTTTCATGTTTTCCTTCCAGGCACATCTATCTGTCCATCTTTTTCCTGAGTATGTATTTCACAGTTCTTGTAATGAGAATTTGTGGATAGTAAACATAGTCATATCACATTTCACATCACCCTTGCATAATAGTTTAACTGTGTATAAAATTTGACATTTTTTTTTAGAACTTAAAGCATAATACACCATTATTTTGTGCAATTTGTTGCTGATATGAAGTCATTATCAGTTCCATTTAATGGCTATTCTTTTAATTTTTCTTTTCACAGCTTTAAGATCATTTTTTTTTCCAGTGATAATGAGTCTAGG